TTCCAGAGATTCCTAAGCCTCTACTCATTTTTTTTGGATTCTTCTTTCTGCTCTCAACCATTGATTTGCGTCCCGGTTTCCTTCTCTTCACTTTTGGTTCTCTGTACATTTTTCCTTATTTCACTTTTCATACCCTTCTCTCTTTTTCTCTATTTTTCGACCATGCTTAACCATTTCTGTGAGCATTCTGATTACCAGTGTTTTGGACTGTGCATCTGATAGGTTGATTGCCTCTTCATTGCTTAGTTCTATTTTTGGAGCTTTAATCTGTTCTTTCATTAGGGCCATATTTCTTTGTTTTGGTGGCCCTGTTATGTTGTAAGGGGTGGAGCCTTAGGTATTTTCCAGGGCAGGGCAACCCATGTTGCTATGTTGTGGTGCTGTCTGTAGGGGAAGGGGTCCAGGAGGGAACAATGCCACTTGATCAGCTTTTGGCTGGCTTTCAGTCACTTTCCCAGCTACCCACAAGAAATTGGGACCCTCTCGTGCTGATTTCTGGGTGGGTGAGCTTGTGTACATTCTAGGACACTGTGGGTCAGCTGAGATACAAAGTTTTAATTCAGGTTTGAATCACAGGGGTCTGACTGGGTCCATAAAACCACTATGTGGTGATCTCATCAGTTCCTGGATGTATAATTAAGATAGATACCTGGTAGCTGGCAACATTTCTATATGGGCTCCCTGGTCCTGGAATATGAACCATTATAGTATGAAGTGCCAAGCTGAAGCCCTTAGAAACCCCCTCCCCCACATACATACATACCAGGAGAGTAAAAAAAAAGTTTGCTTTCTTGGGAAAACATATTGGGGGGATTACAGAGATTAGTGACACCAGTAAAAATGTGAAAGAAGCAGGGATGATGAAACCTATCTCATGCCAGTTTCGCTTGCCTGTTTGGTCTGTGAAGGTAGATGGATCTTGGAGAATGACTATAAATTATTATAAATTTAATCATGTTACAGCTGCTTTTTTACACGTAGTATCTTTACTGGAGCAAATTGATATAGCCCCTGCCACATGGTATATAACTGTTGACCTAACAAATGTTTAATTCTCCATGTAAATTGGCAAGGACCACCAGAAGCAATTTGCTTTTACTTGTCAGGGCCAACAATATACTAATTTAACAGCCTCGACACAATTCTCCTGCCCTGTGCCATAATATAGTCCACAGAGATATCCATCATCTCCTTCCAATTAGCATTGAGTTAGTCGAGTACTTTGATGACATTATACTGATTGGATCTGGGGAGCAGGAAGTAGCAAATGGGGGGAAAAGAGCTAACAGTCAAATATAATTCATATTTGTAAATTGTGAATTGTTGTGAAATTTTAAAAAATTTATCTCCCACTTGTATAAAGTAAGTTCTCATCAATAATGACTATCAAATGATCAGTTAAACTGTCTTGTTGAGGAATTACATCCAGTCATTTTAATTATGAAACCCTATATAGCCCTGGTTAGTATGGCTCAGTGGATTGAACACTGGCCTGAGAATCAAGGGGTCGTTGGTTCGGTTCCCAGTCAATGCACATGGTTGGGTTGTGGCTGGGTCCCCAGGGTGGGGTGAGTGAGAAGCAGCCACATATTGATGTTTCTCTCCCTCTCTTCCTCACTCCCTTCCCCTCTGTCTAAAAATAAAATAAATAAATAAACCTAAATAAAAGAATTATGTCTATAGACACAATCTCAGGTTTTTCATTAAATTTTTAGAACATTTATTTGGAATCTTATATAAATTCAATATTTATTACCATCTTTAATGTGTTTCTTATGTTTCTCATTATAATTTATATAAAGAAAACAAATTTTTCACCCAGCTTATACAGCTACCTTTAAATCCCCTTTAATTTATTCCAGTATGCTATACAAATATCATCATTTCATGATATGAAAAAAGGTTGAGAAGCACTGCTTTAAACTTCAGGATTCGTAGTCTTTAATTCTTAAACCCTTATTAGTGTTTATTGGGTGTATGAAATAGCCAAGTGTGTCTTTCTGGAGAGATAGTTAATAGTTTTCATCAGGTTCTCAAGAACCTGATGATCTCAGGAATTTCAGAGGTTCCCCTATAATTTCACCCCTGAAGGAGTGATGATACAAATTAAGGGTTAATTGTACAAATAGGCCTCCATTATCACAGGAGGGAAGAATAAAGGTGCTATAAATGGAACTAGAAGGACTTTTATCTCTTTGGCTCACTCTTGTGGGAATCTTGGTCTCTTCTCCAATTCAACTAGTATAATAAGAGGATTCTAGGATTTTGTCTCTATTTGAAGTAGATAACTCCTCCTTCAGGTCACCAGAAGACAAAGTAGGAACAAGGGTGGAACCCAAAAAAAGTGTAGGTATAAATGCGGCAGAGAGCATAGACTTCAAATACTCACATGTGATCCAGCTCCATTCACAAAGAAGCTATACTGGGATTTTCAGACAAAGCTTGTAAGCCAGTATCATAAAGCCTGCCTTTGCCCAGACTTTCTCCTCTGTGTTTCTAAAATACTTCATACATATCTAGACTTATCCTAAATATTTATCTCCCTTGGAGCCTAGTAGTGGTGGCTGAAGCCACAGCACCACTAAATTATACTGTCATTATGTGATGTGGTTTTCCCTGCTAATACACTAGAACCTGTTATGAGAGGTAGATATACTGTCATTTTGTCCTTAAAACTATGTAGCATATAATAAACATTCAATGTTTTCTCAGTTAAGGGTGACTAAATTAATGAACATGCACCAATAATTTCTAAATCTTAGTTTCCTTAAAAACTCATATACCTGGAAGAGACATTTCCCCAGTAAATTAATAAATTAACTTACTGATGCAAACTTAATGTGAACTTAGGTACCTTATAATCCCAATTTTGACCAAGATTTTATCACTGCGGATATGCTGAATAAAGATATTCTATGTCTATCTACAGATGAGAGTATCTTAACCACTAATCTACTTCTCTTACTATTAAGAAAAGGCATGAATCATGTCTTTACAGTTCTTTTCGTTCCCTTTTTGCTTGATGCTATTTTCTACACATAGGGTACACTCAGCAAAAGTTAACTGAACTTGGAACAAACTTTATAGAGACTAATAATCTTAATTACATACAAGGCTTTACAGTTTATACTGCACTTTACCAAATATTATCTCATTTGATCACAAGAATCCTGTGAGTTAGAGCTTCATTGTAGAAATGAAGAAACTAAAACTCAAAAAGTTTAAACCATTTGCTTCAGGTTTTAGAGCTGGAACTAGAAGACAAGTCCTCTGACTCCTGTGATAGTGCTCTTGCCCACTGTAAGATTAATTGAATTGTCCCTCGTCTTCTAAAAGAATTTCTTAAGATTATATTGCTACACAAAAGTCAATAATTAATGCTGTTGTCCTTGAGTCAGTAAGAAAGTCAACATACAAGTACATTTGTAAGACCTGTTGGTTTGAATAATATTTTTTAAAATGACGCTTTGGTTTAAAAAGCACATTTCATTTATTTGAATTCATTCAGCTTTCAGCTATGTATATTTCTTGGCTATGCATATAGCTTCCTGTCAGTGTTTTTACTTTTGAACTTTGTCTACTCGTTTCCTGTTTTCCAGGTAGCTCTGGGGGGGAAAAAAAAAACACAGTTCAAGATGGTTTAACCTGTGAACCATACATCTTTAATTATGCTTGGCAGAAACTCTTAACCACCACCAGGGGGCAAAAACCTACCAGCTGGCGTCTTTGTACTACGTTTCCATAGAAGTCAGGAGAATACAGTACAGGGACCCTCAGTGTCTGGATTTCGATGGAGCCTCCCTTCTAATTATTTCAACCACGGAGCCCCAGGGAGAGAACAAAGGCTCAGCACAGAGGGCTCTAGTGGCACTTAACCATACAGAAGCCAGAAAGAGCTCATCAGCCCTGTTAGTTTAAAACAAGCAATGAGATCCAAAAAAGTTTGAGTGAAAAACAGGAGGTGGGCTTTTATAACTGCAAATTCTTACATGTTTTCTGCAGCTTTGATATCTATGGTGGAATTTACTAGCGCATCCATTCAAATTGAGAAATAGTTTTGTCACTGTGTGTAAATACTCAATGGTATTTGCATAGTTTGATCTTTTATTCCTTTTTAATTTTGATTTTTTCATTTCCTTGGTTTGTGTTCTGTGGACAGTTTATCTTTTAGAAACTGATTCCTTGAAAATATTTAATCTGTATTTCACAGGTATCTGTGAAACCTAGAGACAAGAAGAAACCTCAAGAAGCAAATCCTGTTTAAGCGAATCTCTTCCCAGCAGGAAGCAAGTGGGAGGTAATTAGCAGGTTGGACCCTTAGAACTTTTAAGCCCAGCTTTCTTGGCCTCCCAGGCTGACTCAGCCTTTCTTCAACTCAGGAATAAATGAATGAATCCTTAGACAGGGGACAGGGTAATGGAGGAAACAGGAGGGTACCCGGAAGCGGCCCACGGTATAGAATTTTAAATCTTTCTTCAAAGACTCCTCATAAAAACTGAGGCCGAAGGGTGGGAAAGCTGAGAAAAAGCCCAAGCGCCAGGTCAAAAGTGGGTAAAAACTCGCATCCTGATTGCGCCAGAAGGGTTTCTAGCTCAGTAAGTCCCACGCACACTCAGAGCGTTTGAATCTCCGCGGAGCCCTTTTCCACTAGAAAATGTGTTTGCTTCAGGTTTTCTCCTCAGTTTCTTTTCACTAAGGTTGGTTAAGCTGTGCGCCCCACCTCATAAAATGGTTATCAGTGAAGAGTTGGGACCCCAGCGGCCCCAGCCCGGGGCCCCTCGTCCCACCCCCACACCCCACTCCACAGCCGCGCGCAGGCAAACGGAGCGATGCCTGCGCAAAGGAAGAAACCCAGGAGGGGGCGGTGGCCAGAGGCGCACACTCCCGGCCGGCTTCCGGCAACTCAGGGGTTACCGCGAGGCAGAGGCGCGCGCCGAGGGGAGAGGCGGTTGCTGACAGGTGGCGCCTGCGCACTGGGAATGCTCATTGTGCCCCGCAGCTGCCGAACCGCCCGTCAGTCCGCCCGCCAGCCGCCCGTTCAGTACGTCAGTCCGCGAGAGTCCGGTGGTGGGTGCGGAGCCTGCATCCGTTCCCGCGGCCGCCTCCTCATCCTCCTCGTTCGTCTCACCCCTACCCTGCACTCCCTTCCCCATTCCGGCTCCGTCACCTTCCCGTCCCCCACACTCAGGACAAGAATGCCCTGCCCGGAACAACCCAGCAGCGCCTAGATGGCTTTGGTCACGGTCCAGCGATCGCCTACCCCCAGCACCACCTCCAGCCCCTGCGCCTCGGTGAGTCCCTCCAGGCGGCCGCTCAGCTCGCTTCTGTCACTGCGGCTCCGCTTTGCCTCAGCGGGTCCCGCCGAGCGCCACTGCGCACGCGCCGCGCCGCTTCCCAGGCCTTGGCACTCGGCTGCCGCGAACCCCCCCCCACACCCCATCTTAAAGACGAGCTGCAGGAACTGCAGGACGTTGATTTTTTTGCCCCCATCATGCTGGGCACCTAGCTCTCCCAGTCCTCGCCTGAACCCCTGTGGCATGCTTTCCTATGGCTTGGGCACTTCCTTTCGGGAATGAGTCATTCTGCTTTTCACCCTCCCCCTTCCTTTTCTCTCTGTTGCTCTGCTGCAGGGAGAGGACCGAGGGACTCCTGCGTTGCCCCTAACACCCACTCACGTCCCTTTACCCACACCCATTTCATGGACCAGTTCTGTACTCGCACACTGCACACCCTTCTTCAGGCTCTCTCTCTCTGCCTTTCTCCAGTCACTTGCTGTCTTTCTCGTGCTCCGTACTGTTCGTGCTTCATTGGACTGCTGAACAGTAGTTACTCCTCGGTTTCTTCCCTCCTCCCCTCCCCCAAAGGGTGGCCGTGGTCTCTGCTTCTTGGACCTCGTACCTTTCCTCTACCACATCCCAAAGCATCTGGTGCTACGTGATGACCAATGCCAATTCACATCTTACAGACATTGATGCTTTACTCATTGCTCATGATCATTCTTGTTCTTGGGTAGTGTTTGTATGGCTCGTTAGTTCAGATGCCTATGCCAGTGAAGCATGCTGCCAGCAGGAAAATACCCAGTAACCAGTCTTTTCCTGCTGGGCCCTTCTTTCCTCACCCTACCCTCACTCCTGTACACTTTATTCTTTTAGGCTTTATTTTTCAAAGTAACTATTTTTCAAAATAAAATATTGCACCAGCTAGGCGAAATGGGATCTTTCAAACACATCCAGATGTTTTAAGGGAAAATAGATGAAATGAAAATATGGGCCAATTGGAAAAATCATCTTGAACTTTAGAGTTATAATTTTTAAGATTGTGTTGGTGGATTTAGTAGTTTCACGTTGCAAAAAGATATTCAATAAACACCGTGCCACCATCCACTGTAAGAAATTGGGTTACTCTTAATATTTATGTTATCTGGCTTGTAATTTCAACATAGTTTCCTGAATTTCAAAATTTTGTTGTGTACAGTGGTGGGTGGTTTCTTTCTTTTTTTTTTCCTGAGCTTTCTTGTTCATTTTATGTGACCAAATTGACAAATACATTCTAGAAGTGATTCTATTTCAGAGGTTAATTTACCTTATGTTGTTCCAGAGTGCAGAACTAGGATCCTTGGGTACAAGTTCAGGAAGGCAGATTTTCGGTGATTGTAAGGAAGAATTTTATAACAATGGAGTAAACTGCCTTGCCCATTGCTGAAAGCATTCAAGCTGAGGCTGGAGGCCTTTTGCCTATGAGGTGATAGACAGTATTCCTGTAATAGGGGACTTCTAAGGTTTTTTCCAGATTCTTAAAGAATCTGTAATTTGAGAATAATCACCATTCAAAGCTGGAAAACATTTTAAAGTACTCTGAAGATAAGTATCATGGAGATAAAAATTTAATATATAATACTTTATTCTTGTATATTATGCTGTAATATACAGCATAAATGTGGTACTTTATGCTAGTTTTTGGAAAGTCATTAACATACCATCAGACTATCTTAATTCACTCCACTAGCGAATTCTTTAAGCATAGTGGTTACCAGGATTGATTTTGATTGAAAAACAACTGAAGGTTAGAGGAGTCATGCAAATAAACTGGAAACCATATTATAGTGACATAATTTTCATTAGGCATTGTTGAAAACATTTATGCTATAATAATATATGTGTATATTGAGTTATCATACTAGTTTCCTTGAGGTGAATGGTTAGTATACAGTAAGACCATATCTACTTGATGTGATTTAACTAGCCAAACTTGGTTATTTTAGATTCTTGAGGTATGTTAATAGTCACTTATGACATAAGTAATTAAGTTGGTCATGTGGTAAGCTCAGTTGTTGAGCTGAATGATATTTCTATATCTACTTGCTATACTAGCCTGGTTATTTACGTTGTTTACTATGTGGCCCAGGGTACAAAGGAATGCTGGGACTGGTGTGTGTGTGTGTGTGCGTGTGTGTGTGTGTGTGAAACAATCAACATCAGTGAACAATCAACTGATGAGCCAGTTACCTTTCCCTTTAAATTGTCTTCCTGTTACACTTCATCTGGAGCTAGTTCAGTTGAGTTGTCTCCTGGTCCTTGTGTTCCATCCAACCTGTGTTCCGGGATGCTGTATGACTTCCAAATATTTGCTGTTGCATCTTGCTGCACAAATAGGTTGAGTTATTTGTTTTAAAAGAAGGAGCAAGAAGAATGTAAAGAACCATGAAAGGAGAGATTTAATTTTGTGAGGCTGGAAATCTAGTTGTTTATTATATTAAGTACTTTATTACACTTTTTCACTATAGGAATTATAACACTTTAATACTGTCAGTTTTTCTGTATTCTTTCATTTGGGACTAAACAAATCTATTGATCATCTAGTGGGTATTATAGACTATTATAGATGCTAAGATGTATAAGAGATATACTCTATCAGGATCATGTAGTCTTGGGAGGGAGGAGGAGGGGATGGGAGGAAGAAAAAACATGAGGAGAGAGGGTAGAAAAGGAGAGTGAGGAGAATGATATTGTATGCCCATGGACATTCAGTTTTTAATAGCCATAAGTACTGTCTAAATTCAGATTAAGATAAATTCATTAATGGCAAAAGTGATATGAATCTCTATATCTCTTGGGTTTTTCTCTATGCCAGGCATCATGCTAAATGCTTTACATGGATTGACTCATTTATTCCTCACAGTATGCCCAAGGGAGATTGCTATTATATCCATCTTACGGATGGAAGAAACTGAGGCAAAGAGCTATTAAGGAATGTGCCCAGTGACACTCAGCTGTTGAAGCTGTAATTGAAACCTAGATGTGTCTAACTGTAGAATCTGCCATCTTTTTTCTTTGTGGTAAAATGAAGAAGTATATAAAGTAGGTGGTTCTCAAGGCTAGTTCAAACTAGCCTTGAAGTATGGGCTGAATTTCTATAGGTTGATAGGGAAGCTGGGAAGTAGAGAGTATTCTAGGTGGAGAGAAGCTCTATACACCAAGGAGACTTAGAGGTAGAGAAATGCAAGGCATATCTGAAGGTCTTAAATAAACCAGTCTGAGGAAGGATTTGTTTGGAAAGAGGAATAAGAGGTAAAGGTGAGGAGGCAGCTAGAGCTGCACAGGGACTGCTGAGTTTAGGAGTTTGAACCTGATAGAGAAGGTAATGCAAATTCCTCAGAGATTTTTCAGCAGATATGATCACTGTGGTGTTTTAAGAAAATTAATCTCATAGCTGTGGGCCAGAAGGATTTAAGAGGGGAGAGGCCACAAGTGAAACCTGTTAGATGCTGTTGCAGTAGCCCAGGTGTGAAGATAATAAAGACCTGAACTGGGAATGTGAAGTGATAATGAAAGAAAGGGGCAAATGTTAGGGATTGTGGAGAAGACACAAAGGACCCAGGGAGTGATTGTGTATAAGGGAGGAGGAGTCAGAGATGCCAACTCTAGGAATATATTGTTATTCCTAGATAATAGAGATTAGCTATTTAACTGGCAATTTGAGAATTATCTCTTTCCCTCCATTCTTCCCGGTATGAATTTTCAGAATGGATACCTATATTGATTTAGGGTCATATATTCACAGTGAACTACTAAAAAAATCCCTTAGTTTTCTGTAGTGCTTTATATTTCTCATAATGTGTTTGTTGTCATGATCTGGAGCTTTCTAGAGTAGCCTAGTAAGTTATGCAAGACAGGTTACCCAGGTTAAAGGACTTGTTGAAGGTTATAAAACTGCCTAGTGTAAGAACCTGAACTAGAACTAAGTTTCTTGTCTCCTGGTCACATCTTTTTCCATGATGTGATAAGAGAAACAGCATATGAACTTCTGATCCTGAGAACTTGACTGCCAGTATAGTAAAGGAAGCAAGACTTGACATACAATCAAGGATTCACACTCTCTTTGGAGTTCATGTATATTGCAACCTTGACTACCTAGAACAGAATTATCCAAGTCTGAGCAAATCATTTTTAGGTGATACCCTTATTCAAGGCCTGTTGTCTCTTAGTTTACACAGAATTCTTATAAAGTTGGCTATTTAGTTTCCTTACTTTTAGAAGATTATTACCAATTGCAAAATAGGAATGGAAAGTGGCAGGTGCTGCTAAAGGCTGGCTCCTTATAGTTCTGGGAAATGATGGCTGATGGTTTTATAGCAAGAGAGGAAGAAGAAAACCTGTAAATAGCTGGCTTAAGGAAAACACATAGCAATTATAGACTACTTAATGTAGGGACAAATATCCACCTTAGATTTAATACTCTCTCAGAGCTACTATTAATGGTCATAATGATGACCCTGAAAGCTTAATATTGTTTTGTTTTGATTTAAGCAGTCAGGATTGAATGAAGTATATTTTTAGATAGATGTTCATCGACATTTCACCAAAGTTTTTATATTTAAGATGCACATTTTAATTAATTTGGAAATTCATTACATATATATCATTTCCTGGTGATGCGGATAAATAAGGTATTATTGAGTTATATATATTCAAATAAGACCATACTTCTCTCCGTAAGCAGAGAAAATAAAATCATAGCAAATATAAAATTAGTTTAGATGAAGTATAAGTACTCTTAAAAGTGATACTTTTTTATTTTCTGGAAGACAGCTTTAGAAACTTAAACTGTAAAAATAGTACATGGCCATTGTAGGAAATTTGGAAAATACAGAAAAGCACAATAAAGAGAATAAAAGGTATGTGCCATAAAGTTCTGTATATATTTTACATAGTTGCTAGTGCTGATGTATATATAATTTTATATTTTTTAAGTTTAATATATATCATAGATTTATTGCCATATTACTTAAATG